CTTGATTTCTATTGTTTTTTTTCTTTTTTCTCTGATTATCCCACTTCTAACTCCTTCATGAACTTTTCTTCCTTAATCCCTTTTTTAGCTTTTAATGCTTTTCAGACAGTACTTTTCTTTAGACTGAGCAATAGAGAACCCTGTTCTGAACAACATCCTTCCCTCCCCCAACCCCACCAATAAATTGCTGAGGAACACAAATGCACCTCTCCCATTTGGGATCCAGTGCTCAGCACAGACACAGTGTGACTTAGAACCTTGAACAATGGTTCTATCTATTTAACGATGTTCAGGCTCTAGGGAACTTCTCTACATTTTTGGCCCATGTCTTCTAAACACAGATCTGTAAGTTCAAGTCCCGTAAAGGTGTGTGGGTTATGCTGCTACAGAAACCAAAGATGAACACTGCTTTGGAGTAGAGCAAGGGTTTGAATGGCAAAGTGCTTAAATAAGAGAAAAGACAAATTAATTAATGTGTCAAGTCTTTCTTCTCTGATAAAATGAATGCACTGTAGTCCCATGTAATGAAGCATCATTTTTCCAAAGTGCCAAGTATCCATTTTCTTCCTTTTCTTCAGTTCCCAAGTCAGAGTTATAGAAATATTCATGAATTTATGTGGCATTTACAATTGTGTCACATAGAAGTAGGGGGAAATTTTTTAACATTAACTCTTATTGCTCTTAAGTTTGTATTATATGTAGGTTTAGATGTAATGAGTGTGAAATATGATACTGAATCTTTATATTGCTCTATTGGCCTAGATACTACTTACTCGAAAAGAAAATGAAGTTTAAGTATTTTCTATATATGAATATATATTAATATAGATATGTGATAATATATTCACTCTCTATTCCATGTCTGTCTATATATCCATATATGAATCCATGTCTATATGTGTATCTACATATCAAAATAATATATAAAAGTAATGGTTCATTTCTGAATTGAAGTATGTATGACTTTAACATTTTTTTTTTTGACATTTCTGGTTGCTACTATCTCGGTTTTCTATTTTGGCAATACTATGAAAAGAGCATGAATTTTATGAGACTATTATAACAACATAATTAGTGATTTTGTTGAAATGAATACAAGAAAATAAATTTCATGGGATACATTCATAACAACAACTCACGAAGTGTGTATGACTTTTTTTTATCCCTCATTTGCACATTACCAGCCCACCAACAGAACAAGCAGACTTTCAAAAATCATAACTGAACTCAGGCATCTTATTAACATTTTGCCAAATTTTAGTAATTTAAAACCATCATTTTATATATGTAAAGTTGTGGTATTATGAAGATATCATTTTAAATGCAGGAGGACTTAGTGTTGTATTAACAACTTCTTATTTTGTTGTGCCATGCTCATCTATCTTAGGGACTCCTTTAGTCAGTCATGCCCAAAGCCCCACAAACGGAGATTGTCCTTGAGGAGCTCTATTAGGTCACCTCCTTCCGCATTATGGCCTTTCTCTGGTGCCATTTCCATGTCTTCATACCACCTATTTGTGATGAAATCCCAAAGTATTTTTCCCACCCAGATTTTTCTCTTACTCTTCAGACTTATCTAGCTTCATGTCTAACTTGGGAACTCTTCTACCTTGGACACAATATGTTGCTAACTAAACGTGTTCTCATTCTGCTCCTCAAACTGACTCCTGAAACTTGGAAATCATCTTCCCCTTATCATCCTTTCCCTCTTCTCCTCTGCCAAGGGCATGCTGGTGATTGTTTTCTGCTGATCTTACCAACTTGACATTCTTACACATTTTCTCTTCTCTGTTGCTCTTCTCCATGACCTTGGCTAAGTCTTCCCTCATTTCAAATTCATTTTTCTACCAGTCTTCCTGACTCCAGGATTGACCCTTCCAGCTACAGTCTGGTCTGTTTACTATCCTGCTTAAAAGTTTCCAATGTCTCATCCAAACCTTTCAGAAAAAGTTCAAACTCTTTCATGGGCATTCACTTTATGATCAAGCCTTTGCCTATCTAGTCATGACTTCAAACAGTTTCCCCCCTTGTTCCTTGTGCTCCAGTCATACTGGTCTTTGATTTTTTTGAATTGCACTACCCACCCCCCCAACCCCCCGTTCTGCCTCAGTGTATTTATCTAGAATGTTCTCTCTTGCTCTACTCTCTTTCATCTAGTTTTTGGATGAATATATGATAAGTGTTTTTATCATACCATGGAAGGTCCATATGGGCAAGTTCCATGTATTTTTCCCATCACTTTATCCCTAGTGTTAGGCTATCACAAAATAGGCACTCATTACACTTAGAATGGATGAAAAAACTCATTGTTTTTGATCCCCAATGCTTAGCTGAAGGCATGGACTTCATTAATTAGATTAACCAAATGCAGAACAAATTAAAAAAATCAATTGATGCATTCTATAGGAATACTTGGATGGTTGTTTGAAGGATGGTTATTTAGATCTTGAAGTCACTTGGAGGTCAGGTAACTTGTCCTTTTAATTCACTAAAAGACTAAGCAAGTTCTGGCTGTGTTCAGAAACTGAAGACATGGAACAGATGGACATGGAAAAAAAATCAGTTTGCCTCTCTGCATCTGGTCCAGATACCCTTCCTGCTAGAAGAGTCAGGGGCCTGGCTCAGCAAGCAAGTGTTCTACAAGTTTAAGGAAAGGGGGAAGGGTGGTATGGAGTTTGGGCATGGCATCAAGGAGCCATATAGAGTCAATAGTTAAGGGTGGACCTAAACCACTAAAGCCACAGGCTACACCATTGAGAGTGAAGATCAGTGATGCTGTTGACACTGAGGGTGCAGCGTGCATAAGAGCTATGCTTTAAAAAATTATTTTTTCCAAAAGTTTCAGCCAATCCAATAAGCCAAATATATTAAGATTATTTTGACCCCAAGTAACAGAAGAAAACTAATTTTAAGTGACTCACACAATAAAGGAATAGATTATTGCACATTACAAGAAATCCAAAGATCAGAGGCCTCCAGGTTTGGCTATACAGCAGCACCATGGCATCAAGAATCCAGGGACATTTGATCTTTCACCTTTGCCATCTTTGTCCTCAGATGAATTCTTTGTCTCCATTGTGTGCTGATTGCTATAGTTATAGGTATCACAGCCAAGTATGAGATAGTTAACTGATTTTCAGATTTTCCTATGTGTCTCATTTGTTGAAAAGGAGAACTTTCTCACAATTTCCAGCAGATTTTTTCCTCATCCTTCATTGAAGTGAATTGCCTTCATGTTGCCATTTAAACCAATGACTGTCAAAGGGAATGGGTTCCTGACATGTCCCCTGGGACTAAATCTAAGAACATGCACAGGCAACCAACAGCATCTGCTGTCCCTCTGCTGCCTCAACCCTGACCGTCCCTTCCAACTCCGAAGTTACCTATCCTCCTTCCTGTAATGCCCAGTTCCATAGGAGGACTGAATTTCAAAAGTACTAGTGAATGGTGTGTAGACTCCTTTCTTACATAGAAACATTAGTCAATAGACCCATCTCTGTGGCTTGAGTGTAAGTTATGAGGCCTGGAGAGCAGTCCAGGGGTGCTGGAGATTAATTGCATCATGTATAAGAGTGATTAAGTTTAATGACTGTATTTTCTTCCCCTCTTACAAAGAGCAGGCTAGGTGCAGTTTGCCAATCGTATCAATCTGTTCCAGCTTCTAGGCCAGTAGTATTCTCAGTTATGTGGCCCTGGAGTCACATTTTCTGTCGCCATTAACCAAAGGAGTCACATGAGCCTAGTACAACAGAATATTCTAATACAGAAATGAAAGGTCTCACAGCCTTGCCGGTTGCAGAAGAAGGACCCACACTCAGTCTATTAGCTTTTGCCTGAGAGTGTGATTTCCTCAGACAAAGCTCCAAGCTTGGCTGTGCATCCAGAGGGAAAGAAACTGGTCAAACCAGTTACTTTTAATCCTTTGTTTTCCCTCCACCGGTTTCTTTTTTTCCCTTTGAAAACATTTTTAGACCACCATGCAGACAAGGTTACATCAAGAAAAGGAAATCCAATCAAACTAAAAGTTTCAGAGATGCTCGATTCACTTCCAGATACACCTTCTGAGCTCCCAGTATGAGGTAGGCACAGTGCTGGGGACTGAGGGTAATGCACAAACTAGCAAACATGTCACTGTACTCTCTTGATCTAAGAACAGACTTTTGACCAAATAGTTGGGTCTGTTTAGGAATATGAGATAAATCAGAGATTCTGTTTCCAAGATGTTAACATGTCTATTTGGTGTAAGAAGAGGCTACATAGATAAGCCAGTAAGTCACTATTATAAGCTGAATATTTGCTGAATACATATGTTGAAACCTAATTCCCAATGGATGGTATTAGGAGGTGGGATGTTTGAGAGGTGATGAGAGCCCTCATGAATGATCAAAATCTACAAGCGACTATAAACCAGAGACACACTACGGGGGTGGGGGGCGGGGAGGAGGGAGTAGGATCAAAAGAAGGGGGTGGGAATTGTATGGGGACTATAACCAAGATGAAAATGCATACATTGTGCAAAAATGAAAAATGATGTACATAATGTATAAAAAAAAGGGACCCCAGAGGGAGCCCCCCTAGTGGCATAGTGGGTTGAGCGCAGCGCTGTGAAGCTGTCCGCAGCCTCTGTAGCACCAGTTCGATTCCCAGCTGGCCAGGGAGATACCCACATGGCACGGCAGACCTCTGCTGTCTTGCCCACTGTTCCCCTCAGCAGTGTTTTCTGTCAGTCTGCCTGTTCTGCTCCCCGCTCTGTCTCTGGTGAATTCTCTCACCCTCCTGGGCCTCTGGCCTGTACCCCAGTTTTGTATGCATAAATAAAATCTTTTAGAAAAATAAAAGAAAGAGACCCCAGAAAGCTCGCTTGCTTCTTCCTCCCTATGAGGGCACAGTGAGAGGACAGTCATCTATGAACCAGGAAACACGCAAACAATCTGTCAGAGCTTGGGTTTTGTACTTTTCAGTGTTCAGAGCTGTGAGAAATACACTTCTGTGGTTTACAGTTCCTACTTCATGGTTCTCTGCTATGGCAACTCAAATGGACAAAGTCACCCACTGAATTTCATGGTGCAGTGTCAAGTTAGTACTGGTTTCTGCAGCTTTAAAGAGAAGACCACACCACACTAGGAAGGGATATTTAGGTGAGTATTGAAGCATAAATGGGGTTTGCCAGATAATCTTGGGTCCCAGTTTTTCAAAAGTAAAAATGACATATTTACACTGAAAGACAAATGTGCAAGTTTCTCTCAGTAGGGGTTGGGGGTGGGGTGGAATGCTTCAGGGAGGAGGGACCGTTCCTTCTGGGTTTTAGTGATCAAGTGGGGGTGTTGATGGCTAGAAAGGGGCAAAGGGCATTCCATTCCAAGTGCATGTGGTCAGTCTGACAGGAATAAGACAAACTATATTAAAGACTATTTTTCCAGTCTTCCCTTAGTCTAGCTTCCAGTGAGGAAGGATTTGTTGGGTAAGCTCTGCAGCTCTTTGCAAAAGAAGCCAGGCTGGCCGAAAGGGTGTAGAAGTGAAGAGTTTAGTTAGGAAGGGAGCCAAAAGAACCTGAATGTAGGCTCAAAAGAAGCTTAGAGTCAGGAAAGGGAGAACTTTGTGTCAGCCTTGATGTATAGGGAAAAATGAGAAAAGGAATGGTTGCTCTAAAACACGGCTCTGTTGACAACAAAGATAGGTCTTAGGATATTTTTGTATGTATTATAAGCATGTTCTCCCTTTTAGTGTTTTTATGAAAGATTGCTGTGAAGATTGACTTAATTGTACTCATAGTTAGGCCTGGACAGATGTTCTTTGACACAAAAGTGTATCAAGATGGTGCTCTGTGTACCTGGGCTGTGCACATGTTACATAAGCTAAACTGTGAAAGCAGGAGAGCACACAGAGAACTGGGAGGTGAGAAAGACTCACTAAGTAACACAGACAGGCTGTTCATGCTGGGACTGAGGTTAGGTTTAGTCCCAGTAACTAAGGGCTTAGAAGTCAAGGTTGGGGGTGGGGGGTGGTTCCACCTCACAGGCAAAGTAGAACCTCTGAGGCTTCTGAATAGGGTGGCTCAATATCAGAGCCATATTTAGGACAATTACATTGGTTGTGGAATCATCGTGGGAAAGGGATAATGGAGTAAGAGATAGCAATTTAAAGGCTATTATAAGACCTGATGCCAAAATAATAGATTTAGAAGACTTTTCATGGAGTTGATTTGTTTATTTGAATCAAGCAAGGGTTTGATTTTATCCAGATGCAGCCTTAACCAGGACTTCAAGATGAAAATGTGTTCGCCAACCTCATTACTATTTTTTTATTTCTATTATTTAGGAGTGACGGAGGACTTACAAAGTGCTCAGGGTGGATCTGGAGTACAATGCAATAGAACAAGTTTTTATTGAGCCCCCACCAGGTGGCTGGCACAAGGGCCTGGAGCACCGGGCTTACCATATAATTAGAGTTACCAGATCAACACACAAGCCAGCCCCCCAATGCAGAGGGAGACGAAGGGCTGGAACTTAATGAGAGGCAGATGTCAACGGGGAGCAGATGTTTGCAGCTCTTCAGTTATATCAAATTAATCATCTCCTGACTTCAAGGTGCTTCTTGGAGTCCAGGAAATTTCCCTGTAATAAATTGCTCCTGGGATTGATTTTTAAAGTGAGAATGTGTATGCCACTGTCTTGGATGCTTTAGAACAGGTCTACCTAAAAGCAGAAGTTTAATAGGCATACATTCAGGTGGAAGCACAAAGACCAAATCTAAGTATCTAGACATGTTTCCTAAAAAAAAAAAAAATTGGCAAAAAAACAGAGGCTGATTTTTTAATAATGGAATCAGCTGCTGGCAAGGCATTGCTCGCCAATCTGCCCACCTTTTCGTTTCTTTAGCAAATTCTCTGCATAGGCACATGTGTACTGACATTTCAAGAGTGAGTGAAAACAGAGGCTGACCTCACGGAACCTACAACACAGTCATAGCAAATAATTTTGTAAATACATCTAAAATCTCCAGTGTGGTGAATGGCATGAGGTAGAGCTATGTGGTTCTTGCAAAGAGCTAACGCAGGGATTTGACTTGAGTCTGAGAGATCTTCTCTGAGCAGGGGACAGGGGTACATCTCTTCTTTCTCTCCTCTTCCTCCTCTCTTCCTTTACCCTTCTCCTATCCCTTCCCTCCCGCCCATTCTGCTTTCTTCCCTCCATCCTTCTCTTTGCTTTCTTTTCTCCTGTCCTCCTCTCTACTTTTTTTCTATTCCTTTCCCAAATAGTGGTGGAAAGCTTGTTAGGAACCCAAGGGCTGCCCTGGGTCCTAATGAAAAGCAGAGAGGAGGCTCTTGCAAAGCAAAGGAGACAAAAACAATAAAGGGAGTGTGACAGGAGCACGATGTCGCAGAGGAGACAGGACATTCAGTGTGACCTGGGTGAAGCGTGGGAGTTAGGAAGATCCAGGCGTTGGGGCTGTTGGAGATGGGTGGGAGCCAGATTGAGGAGCAGGCTTAGTGGGGGGCACATAGAAGGCATCAGGCAGTGAGGCAAGTGCATCATCTGGTGCACATTTGGGAAAACCTTTTCCGATAGAAGTGTGGTCCCCTCCACTCCCGGCAAACAGGAAACCAGGGGTCCTCACATTTTGGTGTTTCTAAAGTGTTGTTTCAGGTTGGGAGGTCCCAAAAGTGTCTGGTGAGTCCTTTGGTAGCTTCAAACGCAGGAACAAAATGAGAGCTCCCACTCTTTGACTCTGATTTCCCCTCTCCAAGTTCTCCATTCGTTAAGACCCCCTCCTGGAAATGAATAAACACCACAGGCATGCAGTCTTAATTGCAGGGACTTTTCCAACACTGTAATGATAAGGTAAACTGTTTCTTTTAGTTTTAAGTGGGTGTTGCCTTTCAAGGTATTAAACAGAATAAAATCGAATAGAATAGAAAATAAGATAAGATAAAATGAAATAAGCCTATAAAGGATGAAAGGTCAGAAGACATCCATTATTCGAAAGCCGGGTTTCTCAACCTCGGTACTATTGACATTTGGGCTGAATAATTCTTTGTTGTGTCTTACATTATAGGATATTTAACAGAATCCCTGGCCTTTACTCATTGGATGCCAGGGAAAAATCTCTCCTCATTTGTGACAATCAAAAATGTCTCCTCCAGACGTTGCCAAATGTCCCCTGGAGGGCAAATCCACCCCCTGTTGAGAATCATTATTCTAAACTGTTTGGTGAAAGTTTTGTAGATATGAAGAAATTCAGATGTGATTTAGCAAAGGTATGTTCAGCAAGTTCTGGCTGTGTTTAGAGTCATATGGGGAGGGACTGATGGCATCTAATATTAAATGAGTCCGTTGTTGCCTCCAGAAACACCACATCTCAGAAGCCCTCACTCTCAGGCCCCTGCTAATTATTAGACCACCTCTTTCTTTCATCTCCAAATGCCTCTAATGTGTTATCATGGCACCGATCCTACTTTCTCTCCAATTACATGATCAGATGGACCTTTTTCAATTTGGCTTTCAAAGCTGGTTACTCCTAGGAGACAGCTTTGCTAAAAGCATTTAATGATCCTCGAGGTAGCCAAGCCATCGAGGTGCATATCCGCGGGGTGGGGCAGAATGGGGACTTTGTCTGGGGTTCTGTCCACACTCCAGGCTTGCCACATCTTCCATTTCTCTGTCCTCTCAGAGTGGGGCCTGCTGGCGTTGTTCAGGTTTTGCATTTCAGATTCCTGTTTGATCAGATGCCAGCGGCAACATTATAGACGTTCTCAGACAATACGCGGGCTGCTTTCCCTGGGCTAGGGTCTGTGCCCAGCACCGCAGCCCCTTATATTAAAATTATAATGTTTTGCAGTTGCTACTAGGCTGGTGACTAGACTTAAAGCTGCTTAGTAGCAAGGACTTTGTCCCATTTCTCTGTATTTCCCCAGTGCTTCTATCTTCTCTCACATCTTAAGGATGCTAAAAGGCTGGTGCTTAAAAATGGATGTCTTCCAGGACACATGTGAGCCGTAGTCTTGACACACTTGGCAGCGATTTAGGGTGTCTCCACATAGGGAGCCTACGTTACAGATATGAACCCACATTCTACCTGGAACCTTCAGCTGGGAGATTGTATGTTATTTTTATCAGCATCCCTCTCTTTTTCCCCCCCAACATGGTTCTTTAACAAGGTCATGTCATTATCAGTTATTTAATATTTCTAAAATTAGACAGAGTCTCACCACAGCGGCAGCTCGAGCTGTGGGCCAAATTCTTTGAGCCTTCTCACACTAGGACTATTGACATGGGCTCATGGTGGGTCTTCCTGTTCCTTCCTTTCTAGATGTCAGTTGCTTCAAAATTCAGCCAGGCTAAACTCTAGTCTCATTTGGTCAGGATTTTCACTTATTTTAGAAATTGTAATAGCCACCTTTAGGCCAGAGGGTTGGCATTTAGCTATCTGGTAGGCAGTCAATATTCTATACTCAGAGGTCTTAACCAGCGAGCTCAAGACAGCTCTCTGACCAGCCTAGAGAAAAGGCAAAGTAGAGAAAGGGGGTGTAAAAAGCACTTTTTCCAAAGCAGCCCTATATCTCACTTCCTTATAAAGCAACTGTGGGGTCTGGGGGTAATTAAGAACAGGTAAAGCGTCAAACAAGCAGAAGACAGAGATGGTAAATGCCCACTATTCCTTAGCAGAAACTTAATTGTTGCCTACACTGTGCAGGTTCCTCTGCTATGAGACAGAGAAGACATTATATATCACATGGTCCTGTCCCCGCCCAACTTATAGTCCCATGAACAGAAGACTTGGGATAAAAGCTAGAGTTAAGACTATGTAAAAGTTTTTTCCTTAGCATTTCATGGAATATAAAGAATTTTGACTATCTGATATAATCTCCACATTGTATGGCTGTCCCCATTTTATGTAGGAGGAAACTGAGGCTCAGACAGTTTATGTATTAATAACTTGTCCAAGTTTACTCCACTGATAAGGGATAGATACAGGGCTGGAACCCAGATCTTCCAACTCCAAGTCTGGTGCTTCCAACGAAGATCAAAAGAAGAAAGTTCCATCTTCCCACCTGTGCCCAGACTCCCTCCTCCTCCACCCAGTAAGTTCTCAGTGATATCTCATTATTGATCTCCTGGCAATGTCATTTGGTCCTTGT